CTCTTGAAAGTGGACTTTTTATACCAAATATTTTTTAAATTGGATTTTTCATTTCGTTTAAACTTTCTTCATTCAATTTGACACATGTAATTCATTGAAATACATTCCTTGTCTCTTCAGAACACATTTTTGAAATGTTTTATGCATAGATTAAAAAAATAATGACATTGTTTTCTAGGAGAAAATTATTTTTTCTAATAAAATTATCATTAGGTATTATGAGGTATTTTCACTTTGTGTACTAGTCTTAAGACGATGCCCATCATTTGACACTGAAAGTTCTGAAATTCTGTGAATAATAAACCTGAAATAATACATTTCATTAAAATAAAACAAAAACTAAAACATTCTATAAGAAATATGATATCAATACCCCGATCTGGATATTTGACATCTACATTATAAGTGGTGCTGTATTGAAAACTAAAATAAACTGTGGATGTAATGAGCCACCTTAACAACATACACTTGAATTTCTTATATTTCAGTTGATTCGATTCGCAAGAGCATGCTCTACGTATGAACAATTTCTAAAACGAGGTAAACTATTGAAAAGCAAGTTGATGAAAAAGAATGTCAGCTGTCTCGTTTAAAATCATCATTTTGTAAGTTCTATGGTTGATACAATGACCTTGTCAGCAAATATAATATATCATTGAGTAAAATGCTGACTGACATTTCTCATACCAATTGTTAGTCCATTATTTATACACTAAATTGACTAAGGATTTTGCCGTTATTTCACGATCATGACAATGAGCTCACGGAGGGCGTGACCGGTCAGCAGGGGATGCTCACTCCTCCACGGCTCCTGATCCAACTTCTGATGTTTCGGAGGTCCGTGTTTGCACTGCTCCTATATTTTATTGTTTTATGGACTTTGATATTGAATAGTGTTCGTTATCTATATATCATTCTTAGAAATTCATATCAGGTTTGATTGAGTGTTATATAATTCTAGGTTTCCGTTGTAAGGTTTGTCCTAAATATTAAAAAAAGTATTATAACATTTTATGGGACAAACTCTATCTGCCACCAAAATATCAAGTAAATGTTACCTGTATTTTTTGCCGGAAGTACGATTATGCAACAGTCGTAAATTCTAAGAATTCGATAGCAGGGAATGAATGCCATTTAAATGTCAGGCATCATCGGTTTCTTTTTTGAAGATTGCTTTGACTTGCAGGTTAACGATAAAGGACAGCTTGTTGCAGAGGGGGTATAAATAAGACAGAAAGTCTGCATTTTCTCGTAGCAGATAGATTCTGTGAATCTTTACTCCAATCACGGTATGTACCATTTTAAAAATCAAGGCTTCCTTTACGAAAAATCTACATAAAAAGAACAATTAAATAAAGTTAATATCTTTTTAAATCGAAGTATTTTGTATTAAAGATTTCAGAGTTTTAAATTCTGTGCTTTCCAAATCATTCCTACACATTTTTGAAATTATATACATTAAATTTTGTACATTTTACTCGTATATTCACATTTTATTTCTAATTTTAACTTAATTGTTTTCAAATTATATAAATGTTCAGCTTCAAAATCTCCCTATTGAAAGAAATTCAATCGGAAAGTTGTATTGTTTTAATTATCCTTAAATATAGTTAACTATTATGAATTTCAGGCTTTACGTTTCTGTTCATTATGCAACACATTTTAATTAATTAAATTATCAAAGTTGAAAATGTAAAGCAATAACTGAATAGGAAAAAAACTCAAAACATTAACTGAAACTTTTTTACCCAATGAATCTCAACGAAAATGCGAGTACTATCGTTCGATCATACCGACTATCGACTAATTTTTTTCTTCTGTTATTCGTTAAAAAGGTGTGTCTTCATAGAAATGTTAAAGTCAAAATAACTTAATTGGATCCACGTAAGTTTCAAAGTCCTTTGGAATAAAACTCAGGATAAGGCTTAAGAGGTCTCAGTTAATTGATCAAAGTAAAGAATTAGCATGTCGATTTTTTATACAAAATTTTATTCACAAATTGTCGATTTTTGGCCAAGCAGAAAACATGTCTTCAAACTTTAGAGTTGAGAAAACTTTGAAAATGAGAGGATGGGAAAAAATGAATGTATGAAATCTGAAATTGAATTTGAATTCTGCGGTAGAACAGAACAAAATACAATGACAACTGTCAATTATATAAAAAATATCCAAAAGACTTTCCTAATTGGTGATGTTTCTGCACAAATGTCCCTCCACACAGTGTCTGTATGACGTTTATATTTGTATTATTAATTATTGTTGGTAGATTTGTAAGTCTCTAGACTCTATAATGGGATTTCTTTAGCAGAAATAACAATATATATATATGTACATGTATTTCTTCAAATTTTTCAGAATATTTCTTTTTTATTCGTAGATTTTATTTGCACTTTCACATTTTAAGACTGTACAAGAGCATGCCCTACGTACGAACTATTTCTAACACGAGGTAAAATATTGACAAACATGTCGATGAAAGATAAATATCAGAAGTCTCGCTTTATGTCATCATTTCGTGGAATCTATGGTCGATACTCGGGCCTTGTCAGTGAATAGAATTTATCATTGAGTCAAATGCTGACTAACGTTTTTCAAACTAATTGTTAGTCCATTATTTATACACTGAAGACGGATTTTTCCGTTATTTCACGATCATGACAAGGAGCACACGGCGGGTGTTACCGGTCAGCAGGGGATGCTCATTCCTCCATTGCACCTGATCCCACTTCCGATGTTTTGGGGGTCCATGTTTGCTCTGCTCCTATTTTTAGTATTATTTGAAGGACTTTTGATCTTGAGTATTGTTCGTGGTATCCTTATGTTTCATTTAATTCTTGGAATAAACCATATATGCTCATGAAGATTTACATATTACATATATTTTGACTACCACAGTGAATGATTTTTACCCAGTTAAGACAAACCTCGTTCTACATTGTTTAATATATTTTTTACACATATTAACTCTGAAACATGAACTTCTTGCCCACAGAGGTGCAATTTTCATTCCTTATTTGGATACAAAACGTTTAAAGAATTTTGTCTCTGATCATGAGTAGATTAGTGTTCGGATCCACGTTTATTTTAATGTATACAGAAAATCAAAGAAGAATATAAATTGAGTTGAAAAATCTATGTGTTTTTCTATTATTTCACATGAATACATTATGCACTTTCAAAACTGTTTCAACCACATAACACATACTGTAAAAGCGCGTACTTTTATCCGCGTGTGATTTATTTCCGCTATGAATGCAGCCAAAACTTTTTCACGGAATTTTGTCACAGGGTAATTAAAGCGTATTACATGTAGGAATGAAATTGCACTTAATTAATGAGGACATAATAAAGGTGCTAAATTATTAGATACTTAAGTATACATACTAAGTACGCATGTAGACATACATCATGTTTAAGAAGTCTTCTATGATATCAATCTTTGATATTGATACACACTTTAAATAATTATTTGGGAGAAAAAAACTTTGTCAATATATTTTGAGATTTACAAATAACATAAAGTCCATCATTCTGCTAATTAGCTGTATAAACATTGAAAGAAAAAGCTAAAAAAAAATTGCATTTTCCATTTTTTTAAGTTTTGGAAACAACTCTGACGTCACAGAAAAAATCAGCAAGAAACATAGAACACAAGTACAATACCAAACCAAACACGAAAAAAATTATAATTGTAGCCTGGTTTTCGCTTTAAAAAGTCAATCGTGGTGCATTGATTGTGACATACATGTATTTTCATTTAATAAGACTGGTCTTGAAATCATCTCACTCAAGCTACCTGATTTTTCCTACCGAGAGAACATATGTGTCGTCATTGACTTCTAAGACAGGCAGAGCAATGAAACGGATGGTGAATCAATCAATTTGATATTTTGTAGATATTGAAATGATCGTTATTACATAAAACGGTAAAGCTCCATACGCTATTTAAAAACGCTAAAATACTGATGCTTTTACCAATTTTCAGCATTTATATAAGATGGACAATGACGTAGTCAGTTGAGGCATGTGACATGTGTTCTGTCTCTCTGTTCACGTGACTGCTTACAAATAACTACGATACTCCCTTCTGCAAAACAATAATCAGTGCTCTAAAAACCTTTTTAAAAAATTATGCCTTTTCTAAATAAATTCTTTTATTTTCACTAGGTAGTCCATTTCAATTGTTATGGAATTTTTTATCCATGAAACTGTGATCTATTGCCTGGCTTAAAATCGATCTAGAAACGGATGTCATAATAATTTTAGTAGTATTGCTACGTCATCAATATATTTTATCTTATACTTGTATTTTTTATTTAGTCAAATTGCTAGTTCATCACCTCATAATATTTTTTTTTTATATTCTGTTCTTTAAATTAAATAATCTGGTAATGAAGCTATTATTTTATGCCAAATCTTGCTGAGGCCTTGCTGAGTGTCATAGAACACAATTACATTATAACTATTCCCAGAAACGAAGGACATACTATTAGTTCTTTTGCCTGATCAGACATTATATTATACATGTAACAATAAATTTTAACAATGTGAATATCACTGTGCTTTATTAGAGGATGTTCAAGCTGTTGTGTTGCCTAGTTCTGCTTTCTATAGCTGTGGGTTATGTCCAGTCCTCCTTTGGGAGAGCGGGAGGAGGGGGCTATGGAGGGGGATATGGAGGAGGATATGGAGGATACGGAGGAGGAGGTTATGAAGGAGGCGCATTCGGAGGAGGCTTCGGAGGTTATGGTTTGGGCGTGGGAGGAGGACACGGTGGAGGATGGGGATTAGGAAGACTTTCAGGAGTTCTCTCCAAAGGAGCTGGAAATCTTTACTTTGCTGGAAGATAAAAGGTTCTTCGTTAAAATCTTAAAAGAACTTGTGACGGTCTAATTATGTATAATTTTCATCACTTTTTTTTTATCTTTTTTGAAGATTTTACATGTGAAGTTATGTTTTTCTGGATGTGGTATTAATTATTCTTTTTCATTTATTTTCAGGATTACAAATGAAAAGTTGGCTGATCACGTCAGAATTAGCATTAAGCTATTGATGAAATAAAACACAAATAACTAACAGAGTCATTTTATTTTTTTATTTTTACAAAGATTTATAGTCCAGTCAATCTAGCTCAAAAAGACAATAACCTCTAAAAACTGCAACAGAAATTATTCTAGTAAAATTTCATTATTTATAATGTGCCTTATGGTATATCAAAAATATAGAAAAATATATTTGCATTTTGTTTTTCAATTTAACAGTTTTTTTTTTTTTTTTTTTTTTTTTTTTTTAAATCCGATAAATCACTCTGAAAGAGACTATCTGTATGTGCATAAAATTATCGTGCCATCTATATGATCTCAAATTTTCTTGACAGGTCATGCAAAAATGTATCAGCAACCTGAAACTTATGATTATTTCATGAATTACTATGATTCCTGTTCCCATTGTACACAGCTAATTGTGTGGTTGCACATCACACATGTATCACGTATGTGAAATGTGCATATCACGTATGTGTATTACAAACATACGTTTCACGTATGTGGTACAACGTACGTATAACATATGTGTGACAAGATACATTTCACATAACGTATGTTTGGAATACACGCATGTTTTACATACGTGAAACGTAAGTGTAACATATGTTATGTGCAACCATACGTTACAGGTATGTTAATAAACATACGGTTTACATGTGTATTGTCAACCACATGTTACACATATGTTAATGAACACATGGTTTACATGTGTATAGTCAACCACATGTTACACGTACGTTAATGAACTCATGGTTTACATGTGTTTTATAAAGCACAAATGTCATGTATAGTTTATGTGTATTATAAACCACACATTTTATTAAATGATCAGGAATTTTGGTGCTCTCTGATTGGTCTAGACGCTCTTTTCTGAGGTGTACCTCAGAGTAAGTTCACCTCATATGACGTTCTGGGAGGTTTATTCGGGGTTTTCCTCTTGACCAACCATAGCTTTGCTTACAATTTTTTCGACTAATCAGATTGCGTGTTTCAAAGCATGTGTCGATGTGAATGTAAACATGTCAGACGCCAGTACGAAAGAGTATTAAACGCTTTTGAAAGTAAATGGTTGAGTATTGATTGTTTAATAATATTGTTTTCCACTTTTAACTACTATTTATTAATTAGATAAGTCGTGACAATTATGTTATGGGTGTTTTTACTTAATGGAGACAAGATTGAAAGTGTTTAAAGTGTTGTAAAATTCCTGATCATTTAATAAAACGGTTATTGACTTTTGAATTCGGTCTACTCGTGACTATACAGACCCGGTCAGGTATTGGTTAACCTCGGCCTTCGGCCTCGGTCAACCAAAACCCGACCAGGTCTGTATAGTCACGAATAGACCTCATCAAAAGTCAATAATTGTATAAAATATACTAATGTACATAAATAAATTATGGTTAATGTGTATTATAAAGCTCTCATTACATATATGTTGATGAATATAGTATGTGTATTATCAGGCACATGTTACATATACATTTAAAAAGGTGTTTTACATGTGTGTGAAAAGCTATGTTTGAGAATGAGAAGGCTGTATATTTTGTAAATTCATACTATTACATACACGTATGATAAATGTAGGTTGACTATTAATCTAATCCTTTTAATTTTATTTCAAATTCAATTTATTAATCAAATTATCATTTAGTTTTCGCTATAAAGAGAAAAAAAACTATGAGTTAAACATTTATTGTTGCTAGGGACTACATAATTTCGTTTAAAATACAGGAACTTTTGTATAAAAATATGGCTGACTTCCACAACTAACTATTTTTCCTTAATAGTTTAAGTGATTTTGGAGAACTAATCAAGATATTTTTTAACATAACAATCAATAGGCACTTAGCATGCTTAGGGCGTAACCTGTTATTCAGGAAGAAGAGCAATCATAGTGATATGATCATCTATAAAATCCTTCTTATAACGTGTATAACGGGTCCTTAGATCAGAAGTTGCATGTATTTTAATAATTATAATATTTTGAAATCTAAAATATCTTTTTTGACATAAACATTATTATGATATTTGGTTATACCCAATCACAACTGAAGCTCAAATGTGTGTGCGTTGTGGACTTGTCTTGTGTGTTTTGCGTATTTAATGTTTCAATTTATTTCACATTGCTTACCTTACGTCCACTTTCATGTCTGGCATGATGTTATCAGTTCGCATTGGTTTAAAATTTACTCTAAAAACAGTTAACAAAGTTTACATAAAAAGTTCTCCAATCTCGTCCTCGTCATGTGTATCGGATATCGGTAGAGGCACATAAAATTGAACTCGGTCATCGGTAGATATAATCAATCCGAATTCAAGAGCAAAACTAAATTAAAAAAAAAAGAAAAGATATTCACGATAATCTCACAACAAATCTCAAAATGGAGTAAATGATTCACCTAGATAATTATCAAATATACAGTGCGTCCGTATAAAACTTTTAAAATATACCTTCCGGAATTTTCCAGCCTCCATTTATGTATTACATGTACGTTACCAGTGACGTCACTGGAAAGCGAAGTCTGACGTCTGCAAGTTCTAGGGCCTGGCTAACGGTGAGGAATGCATAAAATCAACAATTATTTAATTCCTTTATTACTGTGTGTTGCATGTTAACTAAGCAGGGGGTGGTTTTTTTCAGTGTTTTACATAATGGAGACTTGGGTTACCAAAAACAGAAAATATTGACCACGTTGAGGCAGTGAGCTGTCTTGGTCAGCACCCAGGTGTATCCATCAACACGGGCACGTTATATCAAAATGCAGGTAAAGTTAAAATACTGTAATAACAATTAAGTATTTATTCAAAATGTTTTTTAACCTAACAAATAAGATGCAAAAAAAAGAAACAACAACAATTTTATGTAAAGTTCCACTCACTGAATTTATTTCTTTTTACAGTATTTAAAACATCACATTACATGGTATTAAAAGGAAATTATTATCTTTGAGGTCAATAATGGTGTAACAGTTTTCTTTTTACATATATTATAATCTGCCCCTTTTCATCCTTATGAATATAAATTGTGTTTGAGATTGTGAATTTTTATTTGATTTTAGATATCATATGCATTCCAGGATGGTGACTGAAGCTCATCTTTGTAAACACCTAAATGCCTAGAATGGACTTCAAAACAGATTCTGAAAGTTTAACCAGTGTAATCTTGAATATGGTAATACTTTTAAAAAGGAATAAGATTTTCTGATCATATTGCTTTGAGACTTGCAAATACTACATGTAACTTGAAGCTTTTCATGTAAAATTTGAAATGCAATTGAGTTTGACGAATTTTATACTACTAAGAGTTATCTCCCCTTGTCGGCGTAACTCTCATTTTTCCCACTTTGTCCTTTGTAAGTTACCTGTTATTATTTTCAATCTTCAAACTTTATTGGACAATTTAGATCTGTACCTGTATGGCTGTATAAATTGCCAATGTATGGGGCAACATGAAAATCTTAATGAATATATTCATTACAGATTTTATTTTTAAGATACTGACCAATAAATTTGGTAAGGTTACAGAGGGAAAACAGGGCCTTACGCCAGATTGACCCCACAAAGGAGAATAACTTTTGTAAAGGTTCATTCTCTATAAGGCCATTTTCCCCTCTACGACAAAATCACTTTAAAATGTGATTTTATATAACTATAATCATTCTAGTTCATGATTTTGATGTTTGTTTTTCAACATCGATCATCTCAGTCACGTGATTTAGGGATAAAAAATGGCTGTCAGTTAAAGAAAAATTGAGGGTAGGTCTATTTAAATCAAGTTTCTATGCATGTTTTTGAATGTAAATGATCAAAAATTGTTTATTTATGTCGGAAATACATCAGACCTAAGTAGTAAAGTCGAAGATTTTTTAAATTTAAGGTTTAAGATATTTTTTATGACAAGACTTCTAATGCATCCACATTTTGCATATTTTGAACGTAAATCTTTACGAAATTCACACTGTATGGTGCTGAAAAAAGTTTGATTTGCAATTTATTGAAAAGTATTATTCATATATAATTGTATTGTAATTGTATATGTTAGAAATGAGGTTTCTTAGTGTCTATTAAACTCTAAAAGTTATGTATCAAATGTTGAAAGCTCTGAATGGATTTTGATTGTGATTAAATAAAATTGAAGTAGTATTTAAGAAAAGAAATTCAACAATTGCAAAAAAATAAAGAATTAACAGCATAAGAATATCAATGCAAGTACATGTTGACTATCCATATGCATGTAAATAGTCAATACATATAACTCAGAGCGGTTGCATTAAAATATACATCTCTAAGTAAAATGAAATAGCGTCGTAAAATGGCTTTGCTTTCATTCAATTACTCGTGCTGCACGATATATTCAATTAAAAATGCCTTCTAAACTTTATGTATTTACATGTATAAAAGTTGAGAGACCCCCCCCCTCGTGTCTAACGGCACAACATAAAAATGGAGCAGAATTTTAACAGTTCCTTCAACTTTGTATATCAGATTCTGAAGTTTTCGTGTATACTGGTATACGGACTTAAGAGTTCAACAACATCCCAGGTACAAAATGGACCCTTAGGGTTTGATGCTCCTTTCCCATTCTTGAAACCTGTAGGTTAAATTCAGTCTCTTTCCCAGTGCAGCGACAAAAACTTGTTTAACACGGATAGTGACAGTTCCCTACCTAAGTCTTTAGCATTGAAGGAAAATGTCATCGGTCTTTTGGATATTATCTTCTTTTTTTTTACAAAAAAGGGTCCCGTCCTGCGTTGGGCGTTGGTTATTAATGCAACTATGCATAAACACTTGACCTTAAGTGGATGATTTCTTTATATGGTTGAAAAATCCTTAAATGGGGTAAAGCAACATTCATTTATAAATCACATAATACATTTAGGAATCCCCCTCCACTTTACCAGTTTATTTTCTAAGACAGGACTAATGTTATCGTAACCTATGTCGATGAGTCCTCTCAATATTAAGACCCAGTCAATAAATATGGATCAAATGATACTCCTACGGAAGTGTCCATATAAAAATTTTGTGCG